CCAGAGTGAGAACTTCAGGCTTTTAAAAGGAATCAGAGCTGGTTATGTGAACTTCATGCAGTCTTATTCTCAAGACTCGGCCACTCCTTTCCTTTCTCTCTGGGATAAATCAAAAGTCTTTCTCTCTCCTCCAACTTGTTCAGAACGTAGCAGTTAGGGTTCTTTCTGTTTTTAATAGCCAGCATCACATCACCCCAATCCTGGACTCTCTCTGTTGGCCTCCTCCTTTGGTTTTTAATGAGTGAATGTTCATCTTTGGGTGAACTATCCCTTTAACATCTGAAGTTTGTCAAAGAGCACCTTGACACTGCACATCATTGTTGGGAAAGACCACACAGCACTAAAAAGCTGAAGCTCAGCAGAAATGGAGGGAGATGCAGGAGGAAGCTGCTAAGACCATATACGTTATTGTAAAGCTGTTACTAAAATCCACCTCTGGTCCAGTCAGAGACCAGATGTCAGCCAAAGATGCAGAGGAAAGACCTTAAGAAAGGCGGTAAGTTCAGATGAAGGTCAGGTCACATTTTATGAGCAGTTAATGCAGAGATGCAGATAAGTCCGCATTCCTTTTCTTACCCTTGTACAAGGACGTAAAATTCTGATTAGTATTTTTAAGGTTTTTGACGTCAGGTCCAGGAGAAAGATTATTCAATATGAAAAGGACCAAAACATGTGACCACCACAACCAAAAATGGACCAAATATAACTGACCTTAAAGAGAGGAAAATAATTAATTTTCTAATTGTCTCATTTTTTTCCATTTGACCCAGCTCCTCCAGTTTGGGAAAGATACTGAATCCCAAAGTGCCCCTGAAACAAAGGTTTAAAATGATACAATGGCTTATTGGGCTGTGACACATACAATAACAAAAATCACAAATCTGGAACACTTGAAACTTCCCTGTGGAGATTGACGTCACACAGCATCACTGTGTGTGTCTTTCATTTTCTCTTTTTATTCTCAGAAATGATTTGCTCCACATCTGAAATGAACATGGGAATATTTGGGACACAAGAAAAAGAAGTAATAATCTTTTGTTACAATCAGTAGAATAATAACCAACAAACGGGAAAACAGGAATTTTTCTGCAGGATCCCAAAGTATCTGTAGCAAATGGAAGAGGAGGAACCATCAAGGACAAGCCAACACACGACATGTACCACCAACAGATAGAAGACGTGGATGATTGGCTGGAAAAGGCTGCTCACAAACCAAGTGAGCTTTGCTTCATCACTGAAATGCTTCATCACGTCAGATATGTTCCATCCTGTCTGTTGGATTTAAATCATTGTGGGTAAACCTCCAGTTAAGTCCACCAAAGTTTCATGCTGGGACTTTTCTACAGGGTTCTTCTCTGCAGATGCTGAAATCTGGAAAGTTATGGATCTTGGAATGATTCAAGCCAAAATGCTGTGGTCCAAAACTGGTAGCAAACTGCTGGTATTGCAAATTGCAATTTTGAAGTTTTACATGGGCGATTGGGCTTTCTTGTGTTCCATGAGGAGGTTTGGACCCTCTGGTGTGTTGGAACATAGGTGTGGGACCCCCTGCTGGTCAGTTGGAGCTGGGGAGGCCTCTTGCATGGGAGGTGGGGCATCTTTAGGGGCCACAGTTCCCTATGGGGACCTGTAAAGGTCCTGACGATTGGTGAGACAGGGTTTCCTCAGTTTTTGTTTTCTGTGTTTTTTTTATTTGTTCTTCTTAGTTCTGTATGCGTGTGTGTGTATGTGTGTGTGTGTGTGTCTACACAGAGATGTGATGCACTGTGTGCTACATTTTGTCATTGACAGTTTTTACATAAACAAAGTCTGATTGATTGACTGATGAATTGAAAAGTGATGAATTGACAATGATGTATGCAATGGAGGGTTAACTGTATTTTGCAGCATTTGCAGCTGCCAGCAGGGGGCAGCAAATGTTCTGAGTATGCTCTGCAGCTTTGGTGGAGATGATGGGACTTTGCATGATTTTCCAGTTTGCCACAATATTACTTTTATAACAGTAAACACAAAGTCTGTGCAATAATTATAGATTCAATTAAATCTTAAATCCTTCAGTTGAGATGTAAATTCTGCAAAAGATACAACATAAACAAAGAAATGAGAGTTGTTATGGATATATCTGTATTTTTATTCTTAAGAAACTGCAGCATTAGACAAGTTCTGAAGCAGTAAACCATGTTGTTACACACACACACACACACACATTTTTTACAAACACGAATCCAAACATGCTGCAGAAATGCACAATTCCCCATGCTCTCAGTGACACGCAATGCAAAAATTAGTTTGCAAAAATGTACCCACTT